TCACCAGCCGTGGTTGCCACCGACGGCCGTCTCAGGGTGCCCAGTGTGGCTGCCTCCTGCTCATCCCTCTGCAGCTCTGTGGCAGACAGTGAGGGTTAGAGGGTCAGTCGTACTGTCCCATGAAGGCGGGGCAGGGGTTCTCTGGAGGCCTTTCTGAAAGGCAGCGTGATAGTTACGTTTATTGTCCTGGTTCCACACTGCAATAGAACATGATGTTTCATAATTACCTCTCCATAACGCAGTGTACTGTAATCACCTTTCCAAAATGCAATGTAATTCCATGTTACAGAATCCGCTTCCTGAATGTACTGTACTACAATCACCTTCCATATTGCAGTCTAGCGTAACATAATAACTTTCCATCACGTATTCTGTAATCACCTTCCATAATGCACTCTAACGTTAAGATCAGCACTTTCCATAAAAGGATGTTCTGTAATTACCTTTCATAATGCAATGTAACGCAACTGCCTTGCATGACATAATGCAATACAACGTAATCACTCTCCATAATGCAATGTGGTGTAGTCCCTTTCCATAATGCTGCCTACTATATTCAGCTCCCGTAACAACTGAATGAAATGCAATTGAGCCATTGAAAAGGGAGGGTTTTTTTTAGCTGTGGTCTGCCTTCAGACTAAATATTTAGGTAGAACTTTTTGTCTTTCTCCATCCTGCATTCTGAGCCATGAATCTCCGGATGTACACCGGGAGAAGTCTCCTGCCTGCCGCCCTTCCCAGCTCACCCTGGAGGAGAGTGGTTCAGTCACAGGACAGGAATCTAGTACACATCTGGGGAGACACACTCTAATCCCAAGGAGAAACGTGGACCCAGGCACAGGATGGCATTTCTGAGACCACGCAAAGTCAGTAGCTATTAAAAACTAAGTGTATCATAAGACCTTGGCCTTGGAGGTGGAGAGGGCAGGGAGGAAAGATAACATGTGCTTACCAATCTCGGCCAGCTCCTCAAAGTCCAGGCCTGACATGTTCTCCTGGTGACGTGCAGCTCCTGCTAACCAATGCCAGCTCCGTGGGTCCCACACAAGTGTGTGTCAAGGTGGGAGGAGATCCTTTTGAAACCTGAGGGGAAGCATAAGGAATCCCAGGGCATTCAACACACCATGTGCAACGTTTGAAAAGCAAAGGATGCGCTCAGATGATCACCTGACCTGACCCACACCATCAAGCCATTGATTCTGATTCATAGCCACACATAGGACAGAGGAGAACTGCTCCTCAGGGTTACTGTTGCCATCGAGCCAGTTGACGCTGACTCAGCATCTCTGTAGGATGGAGGAGCTGCTCCACAAGAGTACTCAGACGATAAATCTTTATGGAAGCAGAATGCCACATCTTTGTCCTGTGGAGCAGCTAGTGGGTTTGAACCAGCTGCCCTGAGCATTAGCAACCCAACACTCAACCCACTGTGCCACCAGGGCTCCTGTCAACCTAGATCCAAGCAGCTTTTACCAGAAATTGTGATTTTGCACACCTTGTTCTGCTTATCTCACACTCGTCGCCAGAAATGGCCAGTGTGAACAGATGATTCAGCATGAGCAGGGGCTCGACATGGTCAGACGAGATCCGACTCCAATGCTTAAGCAGTTCCCAAACCAAATCAAACC